TTTCAAAACTCCTTTTTAAAATGTACATCTCTTTAAATGTTATGCTGTATTGTAACTGCTAAACAAACTTAGTGGGCATGAAAAACTTGAGATAAGAGGTGATCAGAACCTTAAACTCACAACAAAATCTACACCCCCAGATCACAATTTGGGAACAATACTAAAGTCACCCAGTGACCCCATGTGCCCAACATTTTGCACATGTTTAGTCCTTGCAGCAACCCATTGAGTAAATACTTTTACTGTAACCTCCATTTTACATAAAAGGTAAACTACAGCACAAAATGTTTGGGTGACGAGCCAAAAGTCAGAGAGTGAGTTGAACAGCCAGGAACTAACTCTACACTCAACGAATGCCAGAGCCTATGCTTCTAGTCAGTATGTTCTGATCTCTCAAATTACGTGTAAGCAAAGCAGTTGACAAGTAAACTTCTGGTGAGTGTTTTGACATGAGATGATTGGGTATAAGGTAACAAAAGTTCTAGTTAGACAAATGACCAAAATTATAAGCACAATATGACAGGTGGCTTGGTCCCTAAACTCATGACAAGCACTGAAGAAAAGGATTTGGAGGCCTGGGGCACAGACAGAGGACCAAAACAGCTCTAGGAAAGGGAACATGATAAAGCTTTACGTGGAGGCAGCAATCATAAGGACAGAACAAGAGAACTCATGTGGTACTGCAGTTGGAGAAGTGTCATAATAGTAATTGGCCCCTGTAAACAGAAAATTCTTCTATGCTGCCTGAAAACCAGATTGTCCCTAGATTATGGATTCAGGTTGTGGGATTGATTAATTCCAACAGTGAGCTCTGAAGGGTTGTAGGAGTAGGAAAAGAATGTCATTGGCTGTATCCTTCCATTAAGTCATTGGCTAAAAGTGCTGGCTCTCTGGAAGTGTAGGGAATCCTCTGCACCCTGTCACTTTCTTGCACCCTGCCTCCATCAACTAGCATTTTCATTTTATTTATAGAGGTTACTAATCAGGAGAACTTAAATTTTTTTTTTTCTAAGACTTCTAACATGGTCTCCCAGAAATATAGAAGAAATGTCCCTAATTTCCCGTCATAAGTTAGGTCTGTGCTTCCATACACAATGGAATACTATGCAGCAGAAAGAATGAAAGAACTCCTACCCTTCATGACAGCATGGATGGAACTAGAGAGCATCATGCTAAGTGAAATAAACCAGGGGGCGAAAGACAAATACCATATGATCTCACCTATAAGTGGAACCTAACCAACAAAACCAACAAGCAAGGAAAATATAACCAGCAACATTGAAAGAAAAAAGAAACCAACAGAGTCAAAAGGGAAGGAGAGGGGGCGGGGAAAGGGAAGGGAAGGGTCAAGTCAAGGAATATGTATGTATAAAGGACCCATGGACAAAGCCAAAGTGGGGAAGGATTGAGGGAGGCAGGTGAGGGAGAGGAGCAGGGGAAAGTGGTAGTGGGAAGGTGGAGACAAATGTATTTGAACAAAAAATAAAAATTTAAAAATGGAAAAAAAAAACAATTGGCATTTTCCTATTTGCTATAATTTTGATGACTTGTATTTTTGTCCAATCGACTGTGAAAACCTCATGTCAGAGACAGCCTGTTCATTAATGAATCTTAATAGGACAGAAATTTTACTAGTGCATGAGAAACATTTACAAATATATTCAGGACATTTGAATGGTCACTGGTAGAAGTAATATTTAATTAAACAGCATACTGTGGTATGTTAGCATATGAAAATTTTAACTGTCATTTAAAGTGGACATTTGAATCATCTGAGCTAATCTTTGTTTACTTCAGTCTTCTTTCTATAGGTTTTAATTAATGCAGATGTGTAAGACTTTGATGAATTAATGAATTTGCAAAAAAGTTGTCAGAATGTTGTAGAGGTTACTGATAGTACTGGGGAAATTTTTGAATAATTTTCATGGTGCTTAATTGTCTTTTTTATTTGCTCATATCTCCTAACTCTGGAAAAATCTGTTTCCATTGATTCTAACTGAACTTGGAGATTTAAATCCCTTCTCTTCGAACTTGTGTTTCTGCTAATCCTAAACCTTTATTTAGGCTTTGGATATAGGCATTCTAATGAGGTCATTCCTAATCTTGTTAAGTTTTGGAAGAAAGCTTCCTACCACCTTAAGTCTAAAAGTAATTACTCACCGGCTGACAATCACTCTGCCTTAGGATGAGGAGTGGTGCTCCTGTGGGTTTCCAGAATTTTAGCAGTGAGATGACTTAGTAAAATAAGTATCCAAACAGATGGAATAGTCCCTACATTAGATACATTTTCCAAAGCCAACCATTCATTTATTGGTGAATAAATGAATTTATTAGTTCCTAAAATAATTTTAAATAAATTCTTTTTTTCTGAATATAGTTTCTCATTCTTTTTTCTTCATGACAAGAAAAATTGTAATAAATCTTAGAGGATGACTACTTACAGAAGAATGGTCAGTACTGAGTAGATTGACCAACAGTTTTCTGGGCTATATTCTCGCTTAGACACTCTTTCCCCCAGTAAGTGTCACATTTACTTTAACAGCTCCTCTCACTCACAACAGAGTAACCCAAAAAGTTGGCCAATACCTATATTTCCTTAAACCTACCTATGAGCTGTGCTATACAAATTCCATCATGTTAAAAAGGATAGAGTTTAAGCAGGGCTCCAGCCCACCCTATTGACATTTGGCGTCACAATCTCCCTGGCAGCTTTAGTATTTTCAGAGTACAATCAAAGCTACACACATATTTGGCCATGATTCTGCTGTAGCTTCTTCTAACTTTTGCAATATTTCTTGTTGTCTAGAGCATGTTAACTTCCATTCTGCCCCTTAATGACCACTAAATTCTTATTGCAAAAATAAGATACTTATGCAAATACATCAGATTGGGGGAAAATACCCACCAAACACTTAAAAGTCCCACATTATAATCTAATGGAAAATCTAATGGGGAAATATGAATTCTCATATGCTACAGTCACCTGTATAAATGGGTACAGTTATATTGGAGAGAAATTTGGCAATACATAGTCAAGGCAAAAATGCATATACCAAGAAATTCAAGCAATGTCACTTCTACGAACAAACCCAAAAGGAAATGAGTACAGAGTTTCACTGCAATATCTGTGCTGTATGCAAACTATTAGAACAATGGAAATATACATTAGTTGGGGAAAAGTGAATAGATAAATAATGATATATTCAGTGTTTTGTGCAGCATTCAGATAAACTGTATTTTCATGTGTTAGCATGAATACACAGTAAACATGTGAAGTGAAAAAGCAAGTTTCAGGCTAATATATACAGCATGATTCAAAATATGTAAAATCTGAGAGAAATATGGAAAAATATAATAGTTAAATCTGAATGGTAGCTATATTATTTTATTGTTTTCTCAAATTTTCCAATTTTTGATTATCAATCAAAAAAGAAAAAACATCAATTGTGTATATCTAATTTTCTATTTCAATTTCTATATAGTGTTCATTTTTTATTTAATTACTGATTTATTACAATGTTTAAGAAATTTTTAGAAAAACTGCTGTACTATTTAATGCTTTACTATATTTAGGTAAAAAAATAAAACTAAATAAAAAGTAGAAGCTTGGTGAAACTAAACAGAGAAAGTATAACCTTAAGGAATGGGAAAGATTTAAGAATTTACATGAACAAGAAGGATATTACTGTAAAAGAAGAGATGATGAGGACAATTATTAAGGAACAAATCATTATGGCAACATTGTTGGACAGAAAAAGAACTTCCAGGGATAATACATGTTAAGGTATATACATGTTAAGAAAGAAGTTTAAAAATGGCGATGAATATATAAGATGGTTAGCTTAAAAGGGTCATTAAAAATTAGAAACGGTAATATGATTTGGGATAAGAGAATTTCATGATAAAAGAAATATTTAAGGAATTATTCTGGCAATACTATCATGTAGTTAATTGTTGAGAAGAGATTATAGTGTTCCAGGGGACAGTTGCCAAATTCCAGGCATAAAGACACAGGGTACTTATCCATGTTTGGGATTTCAGGGTCTTGAGATGTAACTATTCTTGTTTTGACTGAGTATTGTCAAATTGCATTGGCCTCATTCCTGTGGCAATTGCACTCACTTATAATTAAACTTGAAAACATTTTAGGATTGCCAAGACTTAGCCTCATGTGGCCGAGAAGGAGATGAGACCCAGCAATAATCACCAGAATGAATTTAGGGTTAGCTTTCTATAACTTGATGATTACTTCTTAAGTATATTTGATAAGGCTTCTGGACCATGCACCATTGATTGAATCTCCCTAGAGGATGAAAGTAGGTTGATTGTCTGAGGGGAAATGAAGAGAGCACTACAACACTCGAATTTCCTTTCTAGATTTAATAAGTACATATAGGTATTTGGAGACAGTGATAAACACTGTGTATACCCACTATACTACAGAGTTAACTGTTTTCAAATAGACTTATTTTAAGTATCCATCTGTATAGGAAATGGATATATATCTTGTCCCTCCAAAAGTCAGTTATATAGTAGTACTGTTATGACAAAATAAATAAATAAAATTATGTTGGATTCCAGTGAAAATGAAAGCACAGAAATTTTATAATTTACGGATCATGTATATAATTTCCTGAATAAGAAAATATCTTGTCTCCTCATATACAGTGTTTATTAGGTCTAATTTACATATTTAGCCATAAAGAATGTCTTTTTCTATTACAAAAGCATCCATTCATTTAAAGAAAATTTATTAAGTGCTTACATAATCTCTATTATTCTAGGTGCTGGGAATTCAATGGTATATACAAAACAAGATAGTGCCTGGTTTTCTTTTATGTATAAATGTTTATGTGTGCGTGTATATATATACATATATATATATACACGCACACATACACACATAGAGATAAAAATATGTGTTAAGGAGATAGATATTTACAATGAGTTTTATTGAATCCCAAAAACTATAATAGAAAATCACATAACAATGGGTTAGTCATGAATAAATCTAAAAATATTGTGAAGAAAAAAAGCAAAAGTTTGTGTCTTAAGTGAGCATCAGCATTCTTCTATGTTATTTTTGTTGCCCAGATGATTCTGAGGTGGACTGGCCCCTGGGGTCATTTCCGGTATCTTCAGCAAAAACAAAATGCATATCCAGTAGAAATTGGTGAATACATATTCAATGATTTCTATAATTGTAATCATACTTGCCCCACAAAATAGGCCTAGTTGACCACCAACATCTGCTGTAATAAAACCAATAAATTAAATAAACCATGTTTTTCATAAAAAGGAAATTAAACATTACTAGAATTTGAACTACTTGAAGCTAATCAGTTAATTATAACTGGTATATGAAGAGGAGATGATTGTATTACTTTAAGTTTGGTATAAAGTATTAGTAATTAGTGGTATCTTAAAATATATTCATATAAATTATCTCAAAAGAGTGGGAGAAAAAGTGAACATAAAATTCATATCCAAAATATAACACAAAGACTTTAGAGACTGTTAATTCATTCATTAACTATCCTTGACAATCAAAGTTGATTTACATGAGCTGAATGAAGCGTAGACATGGGACATTCAGATGGCATTACTGGGCAATGACATTTTCCATCAACATAAATTTCTAAGCAATTTGTGACTTCAAGTGTCCAAACTATTTCTTTTTAAGTATTTGTACGATTTCTTTAAAATATAGTAACACCACACTGCCATTTTCTTAATAAATTTTGTAAATCCGTATTTGTCTTTATTGTATGTGCTTTTGAAAAGTGATAAAATCTACATGACATAAATTTTACTATTTTGTCTGGTTTTAAGTGCACAGCTCCATGGCACTAAGTGTATTAACATTATTGTGCGACCATCATCACCATCCATCTCCATAATGTTTTCGTCTGCCCAGCTGGAGCTCTGTACCCATTAAACGATAAACTCCTCATTTCCCCTTCCCCCAGGCCCTGGCAGCCATCATTCTATTTTTTGTCCCTATGATTTTGACTACTCTTTCCCTACTTTTTAAAATAAATTACATCGTTTATCTTTGACTCATTGCCTCGGGCCATTCTTAGGATCATGCGATTTTTGTAAAGTATGATAATGAAGGTTTGGGCTTGCCCAGGAGCTTTGAGGAATTTCCTTTCTTTTCAGGGGCTCAGCCTCCAGTATCTGACTACTGTCATTTTCCCTGACTCTCAAACCCTCTGCTGTCTCTTATGTGACTTCCCTCTAATATGCAGTGAGATCTAGGAACTCAGCAATTCAGTTTATTAAGGACTGTATGATGAAGGAGAGTGAGCACACAATGGTGGCAACCTAAATGGCTAAAATTTGCTTCCTCATGATTTTCTTTTCAGCTCCTTCTGGGTAAGTTTTATGTGAAGGTCTGAGATGCCCGACATTCTATCCTGATGTTGGATTGCTGAACGCTCTGCAATAGTCACTTCCTGGGGGTGGGGGGATGTCTCAAAGGAAAGTAAGATGCTGTGTGTGAAAAAAAGTGCAGATGTCATTTCCTGGAGGTGTGTCCAGGGAGTAGAGTGTCAGATTTAAAAGGCAGGTGAATGACAAACACTATTGATTCTTTTCCTCCAATAATAAACTAAACTTAAGATACAAAAGAAAAAAACTATATATTTTTTTTAATTGAGAAGCAATAACACTTACCGAGTAATTCAGACACACTCACTGCTTTTTGTTGTTGAGTTATCTTATAGTTTAGGTCACTATAGTTAATTTCAATGTTTACAAGATTTTCCCTGGGAATAAAAACAGAGTGAAGCCAGCTCAAGATTGTCAGCACTACTGTTAATTCTTATTTAACAAAAGTAATACCCATTTTTGGTTCAAATGTTATTTAATGTGAAATTAGACACATCATCATTGTATTTAATACTAATCATAATACCTTCATTTGGAGGCCACTCTTGTCATGTTGATATTTAGGGAAAATAATTTTTCCCCTTACCCAACCAATTTTTCTATGTCTCATTCCTGAGAATCTGGAAAAGTACATCATTTAAATGTCCAGAAAATATCCAACCATGTGATATGAAAAATAGAGACATTTATTGAAGAAGATACAAGAAACATTGTACACAGGACAATAGCATCTCAGTCCCCTTCAAAGTAGGCACCTTGAGACCTCACATAGTTCTGCCAATCACCATCAGTTCCCTATCATATTTTCCTGAATTTCATCAATGGTCTGAAATCTCTTCCCTTTAAGAGGTGATTTTAGTTTTGGGAAAAGCTAGAAGGCACAAAGCACCAAATCTGGACTATAGGGGGCCCGAGTCATCTGGGTGATTTGATGTTTCACCAAAACCCTCTATAAAAGATGTAATGTGTGAGTGGGCATACTGTCCTGAGGAAGCTGCCAATCACTAGTTGCCCATAGATGTGGCCTTCTGAATCATCAAAATAGTCTCTATGGAGGAATGTTCAAGCTTAATGCAAAATTTGATGCAGATTTGTTGCTCTCGTTGCTCAACCATTTTGAATGCAACAGCCACACAGTACACATGCTCACTCAAGGGCCTCTACCAACCACAGTGACTAGTAAAGTTAAGTTGTTATTATTCAGTATGCTCATTCCAGGCCATTCTCCTTGGCTGCCAGGTTACATCTATGTCACCTAAACCATTTTTGTGGTATTAACAATGGCTGCACTTTTCCCAGACAGACCTTGTAAATATCTACTGAGTATATTTGAGTATTTACCAACGTTTAAGTGTGTGTCTAATTTTAACTCAAGTCTTGGTTCTGTCCTTCCTTACTTATGCCATTCTGGAGAACTGCATGGTTTTAGTAAGTCTTGGTTTCCTCATCTATAGTCAAGATTTTAGGGTCAGGATTTTAGAGTTACAGCAAAGAGAAATTAAATAATGTATTAAAGAATTGGAATATATTGGGTGTACAATAAATTCTAGTCGTTTATTTTAGGTCACTAATATTTTAGGTCAGAGACTGATTTTTAGTGTCATGGATAGCCCTAGAGGGTATTGTATTAAGTGAAATAAGTCAGTCAGAGAAAAACAAATACCATTTATTTCACTTACATGTGGAATCTAAAGAACAATATAAATGAGCAAACAAAACAGAAACAGACTAATAGATACAGAGAACAGACTGATGATTGCTAGAGGGTGGGGGACTGGGTAAAAAAGGGGAAGGGATTAAGAAATACAAATTGATAGTTACAAAATGGTCATGGGCTGCAAAGTAGAGCGTAGAAAATATAATCAATAATATTATAATAACTCTGCATGGCGCCAAGGGGATAGTGGAACTATCAGGGTGAACATTTGTAAAGTATATGGTTGTCTAAGCACTATGCTGTACACCTGAAACTAATACAAAATAATATTGAATGTAAATTGTAACTGAAAAAATATAAAAATAAAAGGTTAAAAAAATTGTATATGTGACCAGAGTGGCTGGACACTACTTCAAAATGGTAACACTTTCTGTAGTTGTAGGTACCCTCACACTCTCAATCTCCAGAGAAGACTTCTATCTCAAACTTACATGATATATCCAACTACTTCCTGGTATTTCTACTTGGATGTTCAATTCTATTTCAAGTTCAACATAGTCCAAGTCAAACTCTTGATTTTTCTCCCACTTATAATTTAATAACATTGCAAGACAATCTAGCAGTAAATCCTCATTTTACCATTAACATATGTGTACATCCTGAATCCAACCACCTCTTACTGCATTCTCATATTCTGCTTCCTGCCACACCAACCTCCATTCTATTCTGTCCACATACAAGCATGCTATTGGCCTAGGGTTTTCCTCTGCATTTGATTTTTCCCTCTTGTGCAATGTAGCTCCTTCATATAATACCAAGACCAGCTCTTATATCTCTTTTAGGTCAGTAGTTTGCAAAGTATGGCCACAGATTTCCAGGGGTCCCCAAAATCATTTTTGAAGGTTCATAGGTTAAAATTATTTTCAAACTAACATATTATTTGACATTTTCACTATGATTGGTCTTTCAAGAGAGCTGCAGTAGCCACTTTTTACATGGAATATCATTTTTATTAAAAAAATTACTGACAAACTATGGTTATTCAGGATATTTGTCAGGCATTTCCACAAAAATGAACAAAATGAGCTGTCCCTTCAAGAAAAATAATAAGATTTTTAGTCAAGAATAAATTTTAAGCTTAGCTTTCATGTTAAAGTTAAAAGTTTAAAAAATTTGTGTTTGCTATGATAGACATGAAAAGATCCCCATTTTTAAAAGTTTTACTGATAAGTAATAATATTAAAATAAAATGCATATTATATAATAAAATGAGTCAATATTTGAGAGCTCTGCATAACTTAGAGAATTTTCCTAATGACCAATAAATGATGTTCGAAATCATGCATGGGTAAAAGATCCATTCAAACTACAGGATCAATGGATATTAATATAATTGAGTGTGAAAAATTCATTGATATATTTTTATATTTCATTGCTGACAAACTTTCAAAGGTCACCATTTCCGCTTCTTGTCCCATGAGATGTAAGCTGATCAGAAAGCCCATACACTTCCCCCACTGGCACCAGGGAAGTTTAAACCGCACAACCTCTGGCCCACATTTGGGATCTCTTATCTAGTCCTACCCGGTAACCACAATGAAACGCAAAGTCGGTAAGTCTTAAGAGTGCAAACAGTCTTAAAACCAAAAAGTCTGAGCGCCACTGCTTTAGGCCTTTCCTCAGCTGTCATTTTCCCAAGACAATCTTATTTGACCACAATCCTCAACCCTGAGAATAACCCTCCCTGACTCTGGCTTCCCCAGCCTCTTTTTCTGCTTCCTTTCCTCCCACGGCACTTATGATCACTGAGATGACTATCTCCACCACAATGGAAATAAATGAAATCATGTAGGGTTTTGTCTTCTGTGCACAGGGTATCTATAATGCCTACAACACTCCTGAATCTTGACACTTAATAGGAATTCATGATATGAACAAATAAGGGGACAAAGTAAAGATGAAATTCATGAATAAGTGGATAAATATTAACCTGTCTGTCTTATACGATAAGGTGGGAACTAACCACCTGGTAATTTTCAGTTGGCAATAATAATTATCATTAAGAATGGATTCTATTAGCGTTGTTTCCTGGAATTATGTGGTTTTCTTTAAAATATCTAAGAAAGATAACTATGAAACACTCTCCTTATTGTTTACAGTTTTAGAAATCAATGTTCCCAAATATACCTACTTCAAAATACATCATTAATATGTTTACTTAATTTTCATTGGTTTAGCCCTGGGTAACAGGACAATGTACTATGTTTAAATCAATAATCACAGGGGTATTGTAATATTTACAAATAATAAAACAATTTCCAAATTAAAGGAAATAATAAAGTTGTCTTGGAAGTCTAAAAATTTTAGTAATATTGCAGTTTTTGTCATCCGTTGTATTCTTAATTTGTATGAACACTGATAATAATGTTTAATTTCCCAAGTACAAAACTCATAACCATTTTCAAACATTATTAATCTGTGTTTTTGAGAGAAGATAAATTCATCCCCTACAAAAATATTGTGATGTTTACTCAGTTTCTCTTAGGTAAGTAAAGTGCCTAGTAATTTGGATCTCATTGATCCTATGCATCATGATGATTGTAAAATTGTTGAGGATTTAAGTCCGAGAATATTTGTTTGTGTCAGGAAATGCACGATTATAAAATAAAATCTGGATTTTAAGAAGGGTGAGGAAATCCAAGAAAAATTGAGTGATGTTGTGTATACAAAACACTAGAGAAATGCTTCCAGGTGCTTGAGTATGAGTACTGTACTAAGGAGAAAATTGGTTTTGAACAAAGCAAACGATTTTATACATTTTTACTTGAAAAGGTGTTAAAACAAAACAATTTGCAAAGTTCACTTCTTTACTACTAGAATTGGCCTAAATTCAGCCATCGTTTGCCCTTATATTCAATTTCATACTGCCTGCTTCAGGCGAGGGAAGCTTTTTTATTGTTTTCTCAGTGGGGTTCATCAGCTCCTACAGGAGGCCTAGGATTGGCCAAAGTCTGGGGACTGCTTTGTGCCTCAGGAAAAAATACATATGGGGTTCACGATTAAGGTAGGTAATGCTTTACAAAAATATCTTATTACTGCTAAGGTTTCATATCTGCACTCTTAACAAACTGAATTTTTGGTTTCTGATTTATTACTCTTTGATTTCTGGCACCTGTTCACAAACCAGCTTCTTAGTTATATGTGTGACTCTTAACCACCAACTCTGTATAGGATTTAGATACCCAAGTTGAGCTGCATTTGTTCAGTTACTTGCCTTAGTCTTCATGGTAATGGTCTCCAACATTCACAACAGTGTAAGGTTCAACACATATCAACTATGTGATAACAGTAATCATAGAGCAATTTATCATGAAGGGGAGCAGGATATGTCATCCCCAAATAAGCCATATTGGCATATTGATTATTTTAAATTAAAATTACTTAAGAAAGAGCTAGTGGGAGACGATATTCTGACCTTTGTTTGTCCCTCTGAAAGTAAAGATAAACCTCCCATATGAAAGGTGCCCCTCCTTGTAAAAAAGACAGGGACTTCAGTGCAAGAAAGCTGTATAAACAAACCTTGTTACTTCTTCATTAATACTTCTCCAAGCTTCAAACCCTTTGTCTTGTCAATTTTAATAAATGTATTGCTTCTTTGTCTAAAAGGTATAGAAGCTGCATTCATTGGCCGCTTCATTGAGTCTCATAGTTTTTATGGGCTCCCAAATGGATGAAATTAAATTTTATTTCTCCTTTTAATCTGTCTTATGCCAATTTAATTGTTAGATCAGCCAAAGAACCTCAAAGGGAAGAAGGGAAAAGTTTTTTCACCTACAACAATAATGTAAGTTTTAGGAAAAACAAAACAATGTCCTCTAGGATCATCTTGTTTATACATGGGTTTCTTCTCTGATTCACCAATGTGCCTGAATAAACATGCCTACATTCTCTGCATATTAAATAATTTTGAAACTTAGAAGATCTCTATCAGTTCCAAGTCATACAAAATGGTCTCCCAGTCATATTTAAGTATATAATGGGAATAACACTATAAATCAGTTTCACTAAATATCAGTGAATCAGTTTCTGATATTGAAATGAAATACAAAGAGGTATCTGTAAGAAAAATAGTGTTAAAAATATAATTATACATTTTCTAGCTTGCTATCTTTTTCTCTGCTACATGTTTGAAATCATACCCTATCAGCACTGTCTTGATGAAAATAATTTTTCTTCCCGATTTGCAAAGATCATTTTACTATCTAGGCATTTACATAAGAAGAACATTTCTCATTAAATTAAAATAAATACCAGGCTAAAAATAGAATTTAAACATGCTTTCGCAGTTTGGTACTTGTCTGTGCAAAAGTACATCAGCTTTAAGTAGTTGATATATTTCCATTATAACAAATGTAAGTATAAACACTAATGTACTATATTGCTATGTCAGGTCCTCTGTTCAAAAACATGAATAAAAAACAAAGACAAATGTTAAGGTTGCTTCCTGATCTTTTAAGAAAAGGAATTCTTTATGAAATTTGACTTGTAATTTCTGAGAGGCAGCATGGGGTAGCAGAAAAAGACCTAATTTAATCCTTAGGTAATTAAATTAGAATTATATATCTCTGTGGAAAAAATATATAAAGACCAATGCCATAGTCTTGGGCATAACTTCTTTCTGTGCCACTGAGCACCTTTAGGGAAGAGTTACTTGAAACAGTGCTTCAGCTTTCTCATCTATAAGACAGGAATTATGATGTGAGCTCTATCTACCTTGCAGAGTTATTAGGAGACTCACACTGTATAATACACAGGTAAAGAATTTTGATATTTTAAAGCATTAACTGATATGATTAACTGATATTAAAGCATTATTAATTTTCCCAGTTGGGCCAAGTAAGATCATGAGCAGATTACTCAAGCAGGCCTCATTTTACTTTTCACACAATTAATTTAAGGAATTGAAAGATATGATTTTACTTTTAAAATTATAGTGTTACTAGTACCTCGGATTGATCACAGTTACATTTCCTGAGTCTTTGAAAGTTTTGAGTAAAGAAAATATTCATATTAATAACAAATAATTTACAAGACTAAAATGATTACCTGATATATTTTTGGCTTTGATTCAACTTCTTAGAAAGGTGCTTCAAAGCTTTTTGACTTGGAAAAGTGGAATAAGAAATAGTGGCAGGGTATTCTGTTTCTTCACAAGGAACAGGGCAGGTAGAATTGTGTGTTCCCACTGTACATAATCCCTTCACTTCGATGAGGTCTGAAATGAAAACCAGAACAGAACATTCAGAGAGGAGGACTATTTCACTGGGGGTATGGTGGAGGGAGGACAGAGCTTTACAAATTTTATTGTTTTACTTTTAATGCTAAAAAAGTGGTTAACAACTTTTATCACTACTTTCTTAACAAAAGGTTTTTATATTTTATTTATTTTTAGGATAAATAGAGCAAAGGAAGCAAAGGAAGCAAAATGTAAAAGAAAGAAATTGTTATTCTTGAATTAATTGAGTCACCAGATTCAGATATATTAGGAAAAAAAAAAGAAATTCTTCCCAGAAAGTATTTGTGCTTATTTTTATAAAATATCGTTATTTTGTTTTATTATGTCTGTGTAAGCTACTAGTGTTCTCAGTTTTAGAGAACATTAGAAATCCCTTCTTATAGTCTTTTGTTTCATTTATAGACTACTCATAGTATAATTTCATATCTTGTGTTACCATAAACAGATTTCATATAAATCTTGAAAAAAATATTAAGCAACATACCAAGTGTAGGAGAAACACAGTTGTAAAACTTTTGTAGGTCACAGTCTATCCCATTTCCTTAAAAAGAATATAAATAAAGAGACTTTACATTTTATAAAATAAATGATATAATGAAAAAAATACCTTCCTTTCATCCATCTATACATCCATCCACCAATATATCCATCTGTACATTTATTCTTTTGCAAAAAAGTATGAAACCTGCTAATTCTCTATGAAAATATATGTTGGGAAGAAAAATAATGTTTTTGTTCCTTTCCATGCTTCTTTCTATCTGTGTATATCATTCTAAATGTATTTAAGTGGGTAACAATTTTAAAACGTTGGTACCTTTAAAATTTAAAATTGCTTTCACATTTATCATTTCATTTGTTCCAATTCTAATCCTATGATGTGGAAATCATCATTTTACCAATGAAGAAAGTAAGGTTCAGAATGTGGCTTGCCCGAGCAGTTGGGGGAGGGGAATTCATGGTTCATTCTTTTCACTTTCTATCCTGCGTCTCCTATCCATTGATTTATGCATGTGTACATAAGTGTGTGTGTGATTAGACCAAATATATACACACACACCTCACTTGATAGGCTGCCTTTCAAGTAGTAAGATGGGACAGGTAAGTACCAATATTTGTTAAGCTTGTGCTGTGGACCTTGAGACAATTTGTAAAATCAGTATGTATCAAAGCTGGTGTAATCTCAGGCTGATTCTCAAGCCTCAGTCTTTGCATTTTAGTACACTATCTGTCTATTGCTGAAACTCATGTGGTCTCTGAGGTTAGCCTCAATGTTTAGTCAGTAGTCCTGAGAATAAACAAAAGAGGTTGTACACCTATAATTTGTGGATAAACTCAGGGCTAACCATTAGGAAGTTGTCTTTGTGAAGGAACTAAAGAATTTTTTTTTAAAAGAAAGAAACTACCTCCAACATTATGTAAAGAACCACTTTCCAAAGTGTGCCTTACTTCTTGCAGTGATATTTCTCCCATTACAAAGAATGATAAAGTTTTGGAGACAACTCATACCTGTAAAGTGGGTTTTGAGGACTGCCCCAGCAAATTGTTAACGGGACTACTGTAGTTTTTTGTTTAATGTCTGTAAAATCTCAATTTTTCCTCATCTACATACAAACTGAAAAAGGATATATGATCAAACCAAATAAAAATACTATCTGAAAGCACTTGGTATATCCTAATGTTTGTGCACGTCATGCTTTGTGTTTTATGTATCACTTTGCCTAGTTTCTGGTTTATATCAGTTACTCTGTTTGTAAGAAGTAATACATTTTAAAATTACAAACATTATTTTTCATTTATCAATTCAGACTTTTTTCCAAGAACTTTGAAAAAATGAGAGCCAGAGTTAGCAGTTTTATAAGTTTTTGGAGGGCTCAGATGCCAGTAATCAGAATTTTAGAAAGAAAGAGGTGATGATTCTCATAATTTTAAAGAAATAGTTTGCCAAGTAGAGACCACTGTTGTAAGAGTGGAGTCAGTATTAGTATACCTGTGTGTGACAGGAAGTGCAGTGTGGAGTGTGCATGTGCGTGTGCGTGTGACTGGCCACCGTGGCAAACTTACACAGCCAAAGTTGTTTTGCTTTGAATACACACTACATTTCTTTATAAATATACTGAAGAATGAGAATGAAGTACCTCTGAATAAAAATAGCCAACACATAGCCAATACATAGCCAATAGTCAATACATAGCATGTATTCTGTGCCAGGTACGTTTTAATGTATGTATGTATGTATTGTAGAGAGACGGGTAGAGAAGGAGAAGGAGAAGAAGAGAAGCATTGATGTGAGAGAGAAGCATCCATCAGTTGCCTCTTGTATGCGCCCAGACCTACTTAACCCTTGACCCAGGCATGTGCCCTGACCAGGAATTGAACCGGTGACCTTCGGATTTGGGGACGATGTCCAACCAACTGAGTCACATGGGTTCAGTCCTGTCCCAGGGGCTTTTTAAACCACTTACATACTTGTTTCATCTTTATCACAACCCTATAAAGTAAGGCATTATTAATCTCTCCATTGTACAGGAAATACAGAAAGATTAAATACCCAGGGTCACAAAGCTGAGAAGTTGTGGAGCTGAGTAGCTTGGGTCAGAGTTGACTCTTATCCACCCTGTTCTTATGCCTCGTGCAGCGCTTACCTCAAATATCCATGGCTCTGGAAATGTTTCACCTTGTGTGCCAAGAGAGCATGGAATTTCTTTTCTAGTTGCAAAGTAAAGAGATTCCCCATAGTGAAATATTCAGGGTCAGTAAGATTTATATAGATGATCTCATTTTTCTTTCAAATTGAGAAAACTATAACGAGCAATTTTAGATGTATGATAGGACCCAATTTTATATTTTGAAAATAAGAATTAGCTACTGGCCCTGATAACACAATATTTTTTTGTTTTCCAGAAATCTCTGCTATGACTCCTTGAGTTAAAATCTGTCAGTTGAGGTTGTATTTGCCAAGTGGAAGAAAATAAAATCAAATAAGGGAAAAGTTGCCATCCTTTACTTACCAGGAAGCAGAAAAGGCAAACATCCACACTGCTTCTCTATGTGCCTCGCTTTACATTCCTTCAAGCAACCAGAAGTGCTGTAGGTACTAAATTTCTGCAGCTTGATGTTAGGGTTGCATTCTCCCCAAGGGTATTCCTGATGAACTGTCTTAAGACAAAATAAACACCTGGTTCAGGAGATTTTTCTGAGCCAATTCCCTCCCTTAGGTCACAAGTTGAGAGGCTGATATATTTTTAATTTTCTCTCAAACTGTTTTTTTTTAAAGATTTATTTATTTATTTTTAGAGAGGGGAAAGGAAGGAGAGAGAGACAGAAACATCAATGTGTGGTTGGATCTCACACGCCCCCTGCTTGAGGACCTGGCCTACAACCCAGGCATGTGCCCTACACTGAGAATCAAACCAGAGACCCTTTGGTTCACCGGCCGGCGCTCAATCCACTGATCCATGTCAGCTAAGGCTCTCTCAAACTGTTTTGATTTTTTATTTTTTTACTTGACTACATTAACCTATTCTGGCTACTCTATCAACCTGAAAAATCTCTGAAGGTAAGAGTATTAGTGGTCCTTTAACGTGTATCCCAAATGTTCTGTACGTGTAGTGAGTTAATAAAATCAGACAGACCGATTGCTGTAAACACCTGTTAGGTACCAGGCAAGAAGGTAAGTGATTTCACTTAACTTCATAATAACTGTGAAAAAGGAAATGTTACCTCCCCTTGGATGCACCACCCACCTTCACACACACACAGTGTACAGAGAAGAGAAGGAATTTCAGGAAGTTAATTAAAGAAGTTAACAGATCAAGTGGTTGGCAAATGGAAACCTGGCAGACATGTCTGACTCCAACACTTCTGTTTTTCCCACTTACTTTTCTCCTTCACAAAACATCCCATTGAGAAAACTCACAGTTCAGCAGGTGTCTCCTCATGTTCACTGAGCCTTTCCCACTTGAATGAGTTTTAAAGTTACCTTGGGTTTGCTAGGCTTGCTAGCTTCCACTTACATTGTATATGTGAATTTACTGTTTTCACTAAACGTATACCTGTTAGTAAAGGGAAGTATCTGAAATGAAACTGTGGGATTTCCAGTGGTGTTCTAATGACATGGAAGAAGGGGTTTCTAGTAAAAAATATTATTTAAGCATATATGCATCCACTACCCCCGCCCCTTAATTTCCTCAGAATGCACATTTGACCAATATTTACCTTCACCTGACGGATTGTTACACGTGCGTGCATCCCCACAGGTGATGACAAACCTAAACCATCGAACTGTGGCACCTTCTTTGGTGAATGGATAACAAAGATGATCCCAGCATCAACAAAACCAAGGGCAGGGTCATCAGTGAATTCCTCCTGAAACGGAAACACCCTCCCCCTTGCAAATTAATATCAATTCCACACAAGTCTGAGATTTAGTTTCATCGCATGGTAGAATTTGACTGACTTAAAATCAAATATTTCTTATCTGCCTTTAACCTCTTTTTATAGACAAGCTGTGAAAATGAAACACCTAAAGCATCCTTTTCAGGGTTGAGTGACACTCTAAGGCGTGGACGGTTTTGCAGGATCGCTGTCACCTGCGGTGAAGGCTATACATAGCAGGTGTTTTAGTCATCTGGCTTCCTCTGCCTCTCTCTTCCCCTAGTGGCCTCTTGGTTGCTTTCTCCTTGGCTGTTCTCTTTGCTTCATTTGTTTTAGAAAATTATTGGACATTCTTTTTTTCTTTGTTATTAAAATCTCTGCCTTATTTAAAAGTCAAACTCATTTTCCCATAAAAGTGAACATATATCTTTTTTTTTAACCCCAGTGCTCTTCTTTTATCAATCTTATATGAGCTGAAGAAATTTAAGACTAAAGTTCTGGAGGCTTTGACTGTTAGTTGTAGTTTCAGGCTATAACGAGAAGGAACGGATTTGGAAACATGAGGACTTTTCTTGTAAATGGGTCAACTGCGTTATGGAATTACATTTAATAAATGTGCTTAATCTTCCATTTGTAACTCAGAACTCTATTTCTCTGGGGACTGTTATGACCATGTAAGAAACACTTTACTGGCTGATGTAGAGAAATATTTGTGCCATTTACTTATGGAATGTTATATTGAATTTGCAGGTTTTAATTGCCCTCTAAAGATATTTACGAAATTCTAGCCTGTAACATTTATAATATTACATTTGAAGTGACCATATGATTAATATTCGAGTGACTTGAAAATATTAATCAAATAGATATACGTGTGGGTATATGCATTGCACTGTGTGCTGCTGTGTTTAAACAAAGTACTTAGAATGTGATAGAAGAGGGAGTTATGAAACATACTTGAAGAAAGATTCTTTGAATGTAGCCAATGGTCTCATTCACTTGGGCTGGGAAGTGGGGTAGTTTAATAGTATTTGGCAGAGACTGAGTTACTTCTCATCCTTGTCATTAATTGCATGATTTTGAATACTTAATTCATCAGCATTTCAGCATATTCGCCTATAAAACTACAATAATGGAATCAATTACCTCTTCGTGTTTAATGCTAAATTAGCTGCACAAGATAGAAGATGAAGAATTAACCTTGGGTGAGAGCTCCATCAGGTACTCTTGAAGGTAGCACCACTGCATTTCTTAGAGGTCTAGACATTTAAACCTAAATACTTAGAACTTTTTAGACAATTCACACCTTACAGAAACTAGGCTTTGTTGCATGTAAATCTATTTTAAAAATGCATAGCATCATCTTCAATTAACTATACATTTTGAGTTAGATATTTTTTAAAAAAAGTTTGTGGCATGGCCATTTCCTGGAGCCACAGTAATAGATGTCAGTACTGCGGCCCAAACTGTCCTGGCTATGCCTCTACGTTTTGCCTTTTACATCTCTAAGTCAATAGTTGAGTCCTATAGATATAGGACTCAAAGCTAAGTTAACTTAAACCAAAATTGCATCCAACTTGTAGGAACAACTTGACAGGACAAAATATTCTGATCAAATCTTTGGAAACCCATGTTTATTGTTGTATGTCTTAAGCTCTGGCTGGGTTGAAGGAAGCACAATACCTGATTGACATTGAAGAGCAAGCGTAAGCCTCGGCCAGAGACACTCACTTTTCTTCTTGCTTCAATATTTTCACCATGATTAAAAGTAAAACAATTTCCATATTCTGTGAAGACATGTGCAAAATCCTTCAATGTGAAAATAAACCAAATAAAACACAATCAGTTGGGTATTTTGGTCATGTCTAAAGGATAAATTGCTATAATATTTTTTCATAAATCACGAATGTCTAAATGAGAATGAAGAAATATTAGAAAGAATAAACAGTATAATGATTCATATTTGTATCCAATGAATGTTTTCATTTTTTTGTAACATGTGCACTAGTCAATTTGTATGTGTTATCTAATTGAGACAGTTTTGTATATAATTTAGCATATTTTAGAAACATTTAAAAAGGTACTTGCTTTATATTTACTAAGGAGTCATGAAAACATATATTTTACCTCTGGAGAACCCCTTCAGCATTCTTTTATAAGGAGCCACCCCTCCCCCACTGTGCATGGTCACAGTGGGGCGGCCATCACATTGCTCAGCTCCTTCGAACCTCTTTCCTACAACCACTTCCACTATGGAGGTGCGCTTGTGACAAAAACTGGGACAATTTTTTTTTTTAATCCTCACTGGAGGACATGCTTAGAGAGGGGAAGGGAGGGAGAAAGAGGAGAGAAATATACATATGAGAAAGAAATATCCATTGGCTACCTCTGGCACACACCTGACCAGGAACCGAACCCACAACACAGGCATGTGCCCTGACCGGAATTTAACCCCCTATCCTTAGGTCTACAGGATGATACTCCAACCAGCTGAACCACACCGACCCAGGCACATGGGCCAATCTTAATACCCAATTTCCTTGTGTTAGAGATCGGTTCAGGAGTTAATACGTATCCCAACTAGAGCTAACTTGAGTCTTCCGTGATTTTAGTAAGTGGATACACGACTGGATGACATAGGCAACTATGATAATTAGGGGTTAAAGCTGACAGCAGCCATCCTGGCTCTGTGCAGAAAGAAGCCAGCTGGAGTCGAGAGATGAAACCGAAACAGAACGTTACTGATGGTCTCAGAGTCCCTTGCTGAGCCATTCTGAAGCCAGTTCCACTCTTACAGCTCCCACTTAATTAACTCAACTCATTTCTTTTACTCCTTAACTTATCATAGTTGGGTTTCTGTAATTTGTAACTGAAAAAGTCATGTCTCATACAAAATTCCTTAGGGATAAGTTTAAATATATTTGTAAATGAAAAACAACACAGAAGAGCTTCTTCTCTAAACTAAGTTTAGAGCAGGGCTTCGTCTCTGTCAGAAGTCTCTCAGGCAGTTCTTTTCTGTTTACTGTGGGCTAAGGAACTCTACCAAAAAGATAAGGAATTGTGTCCCAGAACCATGAATTTGTGAATCACCTAACAACACAAGATACAGAATTGCTGACAGGAAATAAGGGGTGAAATTACCTGTATCTCTTTTCACTAACAGATTTCAAACATGTCAATCATTTTATCTTAAATATATATTAGTTATATTAAAAAAACAAGATGTTTTGAGTGATTAGAGATATACATATAATTTTTATAGTCAAATGCTGGGGCCTTGTCATTTTCTATAACCTTTAATGCAATACAACAAGCCTAAAAACAGAATGTTGGTTGCTTAATGATAATAAAAATGCTATCTTGGAATATATTGTTTACTGATAAATGGGAAAAATTAAAATATCCTCTTGTGTTAAATTTATTTTTCTTTTGAAAGGACTAACCTGCAAGAAAGGTAACCAAAGATTTGTGTTCTTTATCTTTTCTTACCTAATTATCTGTAAAAGAAAAAATGTCTTATATATATTCCATACCCCCTGATATCATAAGGCTGATCTAATGAAACATAATTTGTGTGCAAATTTAGATTGCCCATGGGAATAAACCATCTCAGTGTGAAACAGTATGATAAAGTAGCTTGTTATTCTGATGGTATTCAAAGAAACAAATCATTACCTGTGAGCCACATGGCTTTCCAAAAAAGTCACATTTCAACAAAGTGCTATTATTGAGATAAAAACCATTTTTCTTGACAAACTCTGTAATGCTGAAGTTTTGTTGACTTTCAAGAAAATCAATAGCCTCCTTAAAACCAGTGAAATTGGCACTGATTTCCTGGAGATGGAGGACTTTGGATACGATATTCCATAAGAAAAAAATAAAACCAAATTTGGTCACAGCATCAGTTTGGAACCTATCAATAGAAATAAAGACAATATTTAGAATAATGAAAATTTGTTATTATCTAGAGGACAGAGACAAAACATCTGGACCCTAGCAGCTTCTCTAGCTTCTCTCCTACACTTTCCCTCATTCCTAATACAGTCAAACAAAACTGGAGTCCTAAGAGGTCTTTGTCACATCCTGCAACTTACCTTGTATTTGTACATATAGTTTCATTTACCTAGAATACCTTCCAGACTTTGATATGGATACATTTTGATGGATATTCAAGGCCCAACATAAAGGGAGAGGTGGAAATGTATAGTTGTTAGGAATATAGTCTTTGGAACCAGATTTCCTTTGACATTGTGGTGGCTTTGTACTGTGTTTGCATGGCTATGTTGGAGCTATATTTCCTAATATCCCCTTCCTTGTATGTGCCTGGTCACAATCTGAAGCTCATTGTAGGCCACTCACACTCATTGGGGTTGATTGCCTTACTCAACTTGTGACATGGGGCAATAACCAGGATGACATTTCCTCTATCTCCAGTCTGATTTCTTCCTTTGGCTTCTTTAAATCCTGGGTCAATGAGAGTGCAACCTGGAAAATGTGCCAACTTATCCTGGCACATTTAAGATGGGCGGTAGTAAAAAGAGGGACTCACGTTTCCAGCTTGTATCTGTGTCCTTCGTATTTATCTTTCTTTCTAGCTGCTGACTTGCCAACTTCAGGTCCAGGCCCCGTGATTCAGGGGGCCTTAAACTCTGTAATACATCCCTTGTTTTGTGTCACTGATACTGATGCTGCTTCTGTGATGGACCCATGACTGTTACGGCCACTTAGTGGTGTGACTAAGCAAATTTCATCTTACTGTGACTTTCCTAAAGTTGGTATATGTTAATATCACCTAGCTCAGAAGGTTATTTTGGTGAGTGAATTATCTTTCCTAAACTACTGAGAAGAGTGCCTGAAATGTAGTGAATATTAGGTAAATATTCATTAAATAAATATTTCATAATTGCAAAGTGTTTTTCTGACAATCAAAGCAGAAGTAATCTATTTGCTCTAACTACTATAAGTAATTTGTAATTCTTCGACTTTGCTGAGCAATTTCTGCCTTGTGTTATGTAGGGTTCTTTAATTTCATGCCTTAAATTCTTTTCAAAATGTGATTAGTGTTTTGGTACTATAAATCTTGAAACTGAACCAACTTTCTTCAAATTGCCTGCAAGAAGAAGGCGGGGGGTGAAATGTATGATCCACTCTCGATAAGTGTACAGAGCCATGTGGCTTGTGTGTAACCTCACTCCTGTCCCAGATTTTATATTTTATTTTCAATTTCCTTTATATTATCTTTCATGTAACTTTTTCTTTCTCAGACAAGCTACATTGGATCCTTTCTCAGTCAAGGTAGCACATACACAAAACCAAACCAAAAATGGAAGAAAAAAACATATAGTCTTTTAGAGATTAAAACAAACAAACCATTTTTTATGAACAGTCTCTAATAGAACACCTTAGCTAAACAGCTTTGGATTTTGCAAGGCCTGTCTTAAAACCACTAGCCCAGGTTCTAGAATCTTATAAACATCCTCCTCCGACTTTGCCTTTCTGTAGAGAAACTCTCAAGTCTCCATCATGGGGGTATTCTACCTAATAAAATGATCTCTAACAACTTTTCTTTTCAAAAGTGTTTGTATTGACTTTTTGAGGAGTTAGCAGTCTACATTAGCAACAGGTTTTGGTATGAAGAACAGTGTTAGGCATAAATTGAGCAATGGAAATTTAACCTACTTTGGCTTTCTCACTCTCCTTGACTAGCAGGATCTGCTCCAAAGTCTTGTGACCTTGGAATCCTAGAGAGGCTGAATCAATACTGCCTCACGCAACATTTACTAGATTCTTTTCAAGATGATTTTGCTGAGAAATGAAGGAATTACCACATGTGTAGGGAGTATGAATGCAGTAGATAAAAAGGTGAAAGGGGGTGCATTTTAAAATATCTTAAAAATGTTTTTTATTATACTAATATTAGTTGAGACCATGACAATAATTTAAGTAGATGATCGAAACAATAAAATTTAGCAGTATTTGGAACAAAGGAAGTGAAACATTTTGTGAGGTGTGTTGTTTCAAAATGCCAAAAAAAAACCCCAAATACATAAAACAAATGTTTTGCTTCTATTTTTCAACTTCAGTTCAAATTTCAAAATTCTTCCAAGAATATTCTTTAAGAAACCGTGTTTAGTTATAGTTTGCCTTACTCTTTTACTTAACATACTGGTAAGAAGCTAATAATAGAAAATAATAATAAAAATACATTGACTTGTTTGAACAATTTAATAACTGATAACCGATTACTAAAGCAGCCCTTCTTATGTATATTAATGTCTCTAACTACACTTCCCCAAATTATATGACACAAATGAATCTTAAGTCCAAGTTGATGCCTCACTCAGTCCTTCACTGAGTCCCACTAAAATAAATCTGAGTCTACCATGTATTAACAAGAAATTTACATTTTTTAAAATAATTTGATGGAGAGGAAAAATGTGAAAGTGTCTATTTTTTGCACTCTCCTATGAACTAATCTTAACACCTTATAGTTCTCTTATTAATTAATAAAAACTTTGACACATGTTCATTTTATATTTGTATGACACTCATGATTTTGTCTTCTTTTTGCAATCTTTTAACACATTTTTTGCATTTAAATGCAGGTTTGGAATAAACAAGAGTACAATGATTATTGTAAAGATGAAGAACCAGAACTTGTTACTTGTTTTAAAACAATGGATAAAATAAAATCAGTAGTCACTACATCTAGTAATTATTTCTGACATTAGTAGAAGATAACAAATTTTAGGAGTTGTCTTGAGCACATATAATGGAAATATATGATAAGTTTTATGGTAAAGATATTTTAGTGGAAATTTTTGACACAGACATTTGAAAATCACTCCAAATGCTAAACTTTTTCTTTCGATTTTATTTTGCACTCATATTTTTGTTTTATATTTATTAATTTTCATCATTTTTATTGGAATTAATACACATAGGTCATTATTATCATTTGTTTATTTTTGTGATTGTTACTGAAAATAATTTTGTCATATATAATAAGGGACAATTAAAAAATGGTCTGCTCTGAGTTTCATGTGCACTGGATAGGCCCCTAGTACCATGGCAAAAGTTAAACCCTTCTGAATAATCAGAGTCTCTTGACCAAGTTTTCTCATCTCGGGGCTCTATTTCTGCTATCAAGATGTATCAGCACAAGGAGTGTAATAATAGGGGTCTGTAAACAGTCTTTCCAGTCCCTAAATGGTAACTTTAAGTAAATTGCAATGTCAATTAAACCTTATTTTCTCTCTGTGAATTGAATGCAATGCAGCTTAGAACAATGGTCTTCATACTGAGATGGGCATGTGCCTGAGGGATACTCAAGAGCAAAGAATTTTAAGGGAATATATTTTTAGATCTTCTACTCTTAATAAAGAACCTGCATTCACAAGATATATTCTACCATTTATGAGAAAGCTTTTACCTTTCACCCATTACAAATCTTAGCATATAATGCATGCTAGTGTATAAGAACCTCAGGGCTCTAAACAGAGGCATACTTTAATTGTAGCTTGACTCAGAGAAGCCTTGGTTAATTCTTAGATACCTGTACCAATCTTTGCTTTTGTTAGAATACATACAATTTAAAACAGTGTGAGGCAATAATATTGAAAACCTTTTGGAGATGGTTGATTTGTTTTTACTTTTTGAGACCTTGATACATGTCTTGCATTCCTGTAAAACATGCTACAATACCTATTATATATTGAGTACCTATCCAAAGGATGCTTCAAGAATAAGACCAAATGATTTATATATGTTACATCATCTAATGTAACAGCAAACATGTGAACTAGATAATATATTATCATTTTATACATACAAAAATTGAAGCTAATAAGGTTAAGTGGTTTGTCCATGATCAAATAGCTGATAAATAGATGTGGATCTCAAGGAATCCCCACCCTTACCCCACCTCCTCACCCCGCTGCCAGGTGAAAATCTTATGTGTGCTCTTTCAGGCTTGACCATGGCCAATTGCAGGGCATTGTCTAGAAGGCCTCCTGGGGCAGATGCCTTTTCCACAGCAGACTCAGAATATAGTTGGGAAATTGCAGTTTTCTGAAAGAAGTTGTAGTCAAGGACTTAAGACAGTGACAGCAGAGTATGAAACCAAGTGTCAAGGCCTTGTGTGACTGCACAGATCACACATCCATGGAGATAGCCCTGCCTCTATTTCATTGAATATCTCATCATAGATGCATCAGAACATTTCATGTGTCCAAACTTTTACACAGTAGTTCTCTCCTCAGTCTCGACCTAGATGATTCCTCATCTCAACCTAGAAAGCTCCTGGTCATCCCTGAATAGTCATACTTCCATGACACCCCAGATGGAGACTGTCACCTGCTGTGCTCTCAGAATCCTTGTGCAAACCTTTAATGGGTTGTAAAATCACCATACATATTGCATTGTGATTGCATGTTTCTCTCTTTTTCACTAATTAAACTTTCAAAGTGCAAGAATCAGGACTTTTACATCTATTCAACAACAGGGTTTGTTGCAATGCATGACACACAAATATGGAAGGTAGAAAGGAAGAAAGAAAAGAAGAAAAATAAGTGAAAGAAAAAATTAATAAGCTTTTTTATCTCCCTAAATTTATGTGTTTAAGTACAATTTAAGAATGTACATTGTTTCACATGTTAAATAATACATAATAAAACTTAATTTCTGTCATCCAAGAAAAGTTATACTACCAATGTTATCGAGACATTATTATTAAAAGAGTAATTTTTACCTGTTCAAATTACAAAACGTCACAGCTGGGAACTCTATATTTTCCACATACTGAACCTCTACAGATGTTGTGGTCGGCCATGTGAAGTAGTTGACTAAGCGACTGTAGATCTGCCATACCACCAATGAGACTGAGCCCAAGACCACCACCAACCAAATCACCTTGCGAATTTTGCTCCTGTTCCGAACTATATTATGTACCCCATGAAAGGAAGTGGAGATGGCAAAGTCATGGTCAAACTTCTTTCTGTCAGTGGGAGATGGCAGTGGTTTCTTTGAAAGGCAGAGCTTCATCCTTTCCAAGAGTCCTTAAGATTTAGTGCATAAAATAATTAAATAAAAATGTAATGAGTTAGGAAGCCTTAATGCTCTCTGTAAAAATCACAATTCACAAAAATTTAAATAAGTTACTCTTTTTATGTGTAACACATACATTTCTTCTTTAGTTGCATGGTCTATTCAGGAATCAAGAAGTAGCAGTGTTGACTGCATGGGTAGAAGGGGAATACGCTAACACTGCTCCTAGAGTGCTTCTTGTTAATGTAAATGTGTGAATGCCATCATAGTATTTACATGTGTTTCCTCCCAATTGCTAAATCAGCTTACCCTCAGTAGGTTGCTTACAATACATAATCACATAATTGTTAACAAAGAAACTCTCTTTTTTAAAACACTCTTTCTCTCTGAAGAATCACCAAGTCCTATGGATGCCACAAACAAAATCAGGCTGATTCTTCTGAGAGTCCTAAGTGGAGCTATAAAGCAATCTGTGTCCTATGGTGGTGCATTGAATGGTTGAAAGAAGCATCCATGGCTTCGTATGCTTTGAAACACAACTCTTTTACATCAATGGTTATTTAGTTAGAATCTTTAAATTTGCATTATTAGTTAAGTAATCTATTTTCTACCTCTTTAGAAAGTGAATTCATCCTTTCAAGCTTATCAATAACCAAATCATGCTTACTCATATTGATTGATAAGAACCCAGTAAAGGTGGCCCTAAGAATTTTCTGGAAACATATAACATTCAAATATTCTCTTTTGGTTTAATTTGATTTTATTTTTCTGTAGAAGATGTACAGAATTCTTTTGCTGAGAGAAACCTTCAATATAGTTCAGAGGATGAGATGGCCTTAGGAAAGGAAAGATCTAGTTTCTTGTCCAGGTCTCACATTTCATAATCTGTATGACTTTAACCAAGTTTCTTAATCTCTCTAATGCTTTGTTCTTGGCTGTCCCATGGGAGCAATAGTCCCTGCCACAAGAGCTTGTTGTGAGTAGTAAATAACACAATGCCTGAGAATGACTTGGTGCATTACCTGGACCATGATAAGCCCTCAATACTAGCTATATCTGTTATTCTGTAAATTTAGTTGTGATGTGATAAATGATAAAATAGTCAGGGACTTTGAAACACTAAAATTTTCATTTAAGAAATGAGTTCTTAATGGTCTCACAAATGCTTATAATTAGGTTAACTTTTGCTTTAATTCATTGAAGTTTATTTTTGTCAACTAATCAGCATGAGTATACTAGTAAAAGATTTCAAGTGTTACTTACCTCTAAATCATTATTAATACTTAATAAGTTTCCAATCAATTAGCTCAGCTTAAGTCATGGTTATATGATAATACATATATGAATATTTTCTAAGGGACTCCGAGCAGTTTGAATTTTGACTAAAATTTAAAGTAACCCCACCTACTCTTTTTAATATCAAATTAGGATACACACACACATGCATACATATAAATAGTGTAATTGGCACAGTTTCAAAGCAAAATCAGAGGTAGGAGAAAAATTATTGTTGTTATCCATTAGCACAATAAGTTTAATAATGGTCTTTTGTGCATTTTACAAACACATATGAAGAACTGACTCTGGCAGAATGGCAACTCAGCCTCCGGGCACCTGGCAGTCTTCCTACAACAGGGACCGAAGCTATTAGAAAGGGAAGAGTGAGGTGGGAACCAGCAACTGGTCCACAACTGGTTGCAAGCATTACCGGGAAAAATACATATGTTTCCATCTCATCTGTCAAAAATTAGCTCCTTTAATACAGAGCTACATCTTGGCAATTGCTTTGCTTGTACTGGAGTATTCTCAGTTATTTGCCAGGGTTTAAAAATTTTTTTTAAATATTATTTTAGATAAATAGTGAAGAAACAAGGTGATGTGTTACTGGGAGGAAGATTAGGATTGGCTTAGTAAACAATCCATCAGCCTAAAAAGCAGAAAACATCTTATTTTCCTGACTGAAGCATACACTATGGAATTATGTCAAATGGCCCTTGCATTGAATACTGATCTTTACAGAAACCTTTTGAGGATCATCATAAATTTTGCTGTATTTTAAAAATAAAACGGGTAGGTACTTGATAAATAGACACCCCCTTCAAAAAATACAACCACCACCAAAATAAAACAACAAAAACGATTGTAGTATATAGTAATATTTTAAAACTATTTTGACTTCCTTATATAAATTATTCTTAAATAACCAAAACTGTATTACTGATGTTATATTCAAGTAAATATTGAAAAGCAGATTTCCCAAATTAGAAAAAAAAATCCCTTCTCCTTTGCTAATTGCTAGCCTTTGGAAATGAAAATTGTAATTGTTCTGAGGATTTTACCCTTCACCCACCTTTCTCAGCATAGACTTTTGATTTCTCAGTCTGCTCCATTTGTAATTTTAGTAAGCAGGAGTCCTTGGGGTATATTCAGTTTTCATCCATAACCATGTTCCTTTTGTGGGCTTTGTATTAAATACAGCAGTTGAGGTTGTAAAAATGTGGGGGTAATTTAAATGTTTGTGTTGCTATGTTTTGCCTCAGAAAGCATATCATCTGCAAGCCAAGAATACTGGCAGAACCAGCTATATGCATTTATGAACTGATGAGAAACTATCATAGAATAAACCCCCCCAAAATAGAATTAGGAAACCATTTTCACAGAATTAGAGACAATCCTTACAAATACCTGTGATTTTAAAGTATCCCTGACCTGGCCAGCAACCCCTAATGGGCCCACCTGGCAGTCTCCTTAGCCTTTATTTCTCTCTCTCTGTTTACAAGTCTGAATCAAAATGCAGTTGGAATGAAATCTTGGGGGTAAAGATGTCTTTTCCTAGTGAAAGTTTTTTAGTAACAGATAAAGCAGTTTCAAAACAGAAATAGTAATCAATAAAAATCACAAAATAAACCACTAGAAAATAGCTCCATAAGAAGAAATGTTTGAGAATAGTATAAACCTTTAATAAAGCACAAAGGCCAAGTATGTGTTCATGTTGACACTTTTGAGAAATTACTACTAGAATTTTTTATATTAAATTATAAACTGGCAAATATGCATTATTGTGTATTAACAACACCATCTCCTGACCAAAATCAGAATTGCATGCATTCTTTTTTCAGCTTCTTAAGAGTTGCCAGGGTGGTTTTATAAGTATGTAACCACTAACCATTCATGCATACATTTTATGTGTGCTTTCTTGGTAATTGAGTGTTATAAATTAAAACTAATTTGGTATGAAGACCAACTAAGAAATTTCAAGGATTTAAATAAAAGAACATTTGGATCCAAACTATGTTTCCAGCAGACAGAATAAGTTGTTTACCTGCCTAGATGGCTAAAGCTTTTTATTAATATTTATGGAGAAGACAGTTTTATGGAAGATGTGGCTAGATTTTGGGTAAGATTGTTTTCATAGTTGTTTGTACTTTCTTTTTTTAAAAACCCTCTTTATTCTTCAGTCTTAGGAATTGAGAAAGGTAAAGATAGATTTTGAATGTCTTCTAGAGCTGCATTTCTGGTTTTGCAAAGATTTGAAAGATAAGACAAATGCTCTGAATTTCTCAAATGATGTCACACCTGGACCTACTTGTCCAGCTACATTCAATCTTAATTTGCTTCTTTTCCTCTGGGAATATAGTTTCATTTTAGGTACCTCTTATTGTCTTAATTTTTCTTTTATTTCTTTTTTAAATTTTTTATTTTTAAATCATGTTTATTCTCTTACAATTGTCTCAATTTTTACCCCTTTGCCCTTCTCCATGCAACCCACCCCACTCCCATAGCTGATTCCCACTCTGTTGCCCATGTCCATGGGTCATTCATAGATGTTCTTTGTTTAGTTTCTTCTCCTTCTTTACACCATTGTCCTCCTTACCCATCCCCTTTGGTCATTTTCAGTCTGCTTCATGTTTCCAACTTGTGTTTTATTTTGTTCATTACTTTATTTTGTTGAACAGATTCCACTTATAGGTGAGATCATCTGGTATTTGTATTTCACCGACTGGCTTATTTCACTGAGCATAATATTCTCCAGTTCCATCCATGTTGTCACTAAAGGTAGGAGTTTCTTCTTTCTTTTTTTCTTTTTTTTAATGCACATTGATTTTATTTATTTATTTATTTACATGTCAAGATCCATTACAAAATATTAAAAAATTTTAATCCATTATAAAATCTCAGCAATTAAAACAACATGACACCAGCACAGAAATAATCAAGTAGATCAATGAAATAAAATGAGTATTCTAGAACAAATGTATATATCTGTCTAATAATGTAATATATGATTAAATTGATATTTCCAATCAGTGGGGAAAATTAGGCTTATTCAACAAATAAGGTGCATGTACCACTACTACTAGAAAAAAAAAACAAATATAGAGCCCTATTTCACACATTATACAAAAAATATTCAGGTGAGTTAAAAATCAATATGTAAAATCTAAGGAGTTTTAGGAGAAAATACAAAATAACATTGTTCTTAACCTGAAGTAAAATATTCAAACTCAGAGGCTATAAAGTAAAATATTGACAATATGACTATATTGAACATTTAAGACTATACAATAATATACATATTAAAAAAGTTAAAGGACTAGTGATAGAATAGGTAAGTATTTGCAACACATCTAAAAAAAGGTTAATAGTTTTCTTTTTTTTTAGGGAAAAATTCTACAAATATTTAATCAAAAAATGGATAAAGAATACCAAAAAGTCATTTAAAGCTTTTTAAAAAATATACAAATAGGCAAGAAATCTACAAAAACAAGTTCAGTTTCAAAAATAATAAAGCAACACTTAAAATACCACATCTTTGTTACAATCAGATTAATAAGTATTAAAAGTATTGGTAACATCAAGTATTGGTGGCTCTGAAAGGAACTGGGTATTCATAGACTTCTTCATCTTCTTAAAGCAGTCTCTTTAGCATATCTTGCAATGCTGGTTTGGTGGAGATTTATTCTTTTAGCCTTCTTTTGTCTGGGAAACTCCTTATTACGCCTTCCATTTT